GTTTGTACACACACACCCCTACCGATTTCAATAACTAAAAAGTTTAACGTGATAAAAAAAAGTGCACAGAACTAAGTCAATTTAATCATTGATTTATAATTTCTAACCTATCACCATATTGGCACTAGTACGTGCACCTTTCATGTTTAACAGACTTTCCCTACTAACACGGCGCCATATTCCGTACACTACGGGGTAGTTAATTTCCATCCGACAACATAATGACGTAATTAATCCTGTTTGGTAACTGCCGGATACTTCCGTAAATTCCAATAACGTTGACTTTGGAATTATATTCCTTTGCACACGTGAACATATTAATGAAACCGCTTGTTAAATCCACGTGAAAGGCAAATTTTTTGTCATTCTTTTCCTTTGCTTGATTCGACACTGCAAATATTGGAAGCAGACGACATATGTACATATTTAGTCGCGCATGACCCCCTTTGCTGAAAATGGACTGGTCCAGAAACTGAAAATGATTCTCAAGCATGACCGTCTATTACATTGAAAACTTCCGTTAAGCATGAAACGCGCAGGCGATGACGGTGTTATGGCAATTCTTCTCACATTCAGGTTAGAAAATATAAATCAAGGAATGAATTGAGTAAGTTCCTTGCACTTTTTATCAAATTAAATGTTTCCGTTATTAAAATTGGTAGGGGAGGGACAAACCAACGGGGATGTATTTTCGGATTGTAGTTTGATTTTATGAAAATCAGATTGGAATATTTTATGATGCCAAAATTATAACGACCAAAAGCTATGTAGTCTAAATATGTATGAGCGTAAATGTCATATATAGATGACAACAAAAACCAGCCCATTATACTATTTTGTTTTAAAAGCAACATCGCGGGAAACAGTTCATCTGTACTGCCAACATAGGTTGCGGTAGGGAGGGGAAATGCAGTACAAGTCGTATAAAACACTTTATCGAAATCGTTTAAACCATTTGACATTAATCATATGACGAGTAATTTGTCGATTACTATCGGTTTATCGCCACGTCTTCAATTTCTGTGGGGTTAAAAAAAAAACCGACCTGCATAATTTTATTGTAAATAGAAGGATATGTAGCAAGTTGTGTATATAATCTATCCCGGCAATTTTTTTCCTTTGCATCTATTGCATTTGCACAAACATTTCATAAAAAAATAATGTCCTGTATTTCGAGATCAAATGGAAACAACCCGCCCCCAAGTTGTTAGCTCTCTTCCATACAAACAGGATGTGACGTCATTTAAGATTAACGTACAAGAAGCATATTTATATTCAGTGTCAAGTAGATACAAGATGGTTCAATGCGCAGCTCTAAATTGTGTGAATATTAGCAGTTCCAGACAGAAGAATTTTTTTGCACATTTGCAAACGGACCCTAAATTGAGATATGTATGGGCGATCAAATTAAAGGCTTTATACAAACTCAGCACACCAAGTTGTGCTAGAGACATTTCGAACCTGAATGTTTCTCAAAAGTCCAGAGAGAGACACTGCTATCTGGCCGTATGATTACAATAAAACTCATGTTTTCAGATTATGTCCAAAAACTGACGGAGGATGTTGTAATACGGCGAGAATTATACAGCACATATCGCACAGCGCATGACGCTAGGGCCCACGAAATGAACCATCCACCACCAGCTGTAGCCTCTTCATGCAGAAAGAATTTAGTTCTAGAAAAGAGCACAATAATTCAGGAGCACCGTCAACGTTTCAATACCAGAAAGTGTAATTTGAGCCAATAAAGTTTAAAATCACAATAGTTTCTGATTTATTATTTTGCTATTGTACACATGTATTCACAAACATGTCTAGAAATGTCATCAAGTGTTCAGATTCGTCAGTTAGCTGCGATGATACTTGAAGGTTTCAGATGGGACGATCTTGCGAATCGTGCTCACTACACATGATGGTAATATCTTTTTATTTCCTTTACCAAGTATCTTCCACAACCAGCGGATAAATCGTCTATATTCAATGTGTCGGTAGATTCTGAAAGGACAAAATACAGTTTACTGAATAGTATAGTTGTTACACAAAATTTCACACCAATCCAATTACTGTATACATGGCATTTACATTTTTTGCATACTGTTTTAAAGTGCTCTGGAAAAGGTGGGGTTGTAAAATGTTATGTGCTCTCTGTCTCTCTGTCTCTCTGTCTCTCTCTCTCTCTCTCTCTCTCTCTCTCACACACACACACACAGCTGAATTGGTCCTAAATTTTGTCTTTTGTTTTTTTGCAGACTAACGTTTTGTTTTTAAATCCAACTTACCAATGTTTACGATTATAAAAATGTTCATAGAAAAGGATTATACACAGGTTTTTATTTTTCTCCAAAAGACATTTTGTTGTTGATGCTGCAGGATTAGTACTCACGTATGGATATGGATGGTCGTTCTCCCTTAATCTACCATTTTCTTGAACGTACTCATAAAATGAAGTTTCTAAGACATGTATGTTCAAACAGTTTGCAATGGATCACTCGTGGTTTGTGATGCAGGTGGATGAAGATTCTTCCATTTTTTTTTTTTAAGTTCGACTAAGATTATTAACAAATATTCTCTTCTTGGTTGGACAGTGGCACAGATTTATTGCATAAGTACCTATGTGGAAAAAGGTTAAAATTATTTGAAAACAGTTGCCTGTTTGATATTGTAAATGTCCATTTCTTTGAAGAACATGCATCCAATTATGATACGTACAAGTCCAAATTAATAGCTGTTGGATTCATCCAGGCTATATAAAATGAAAAACAATTTCCATCCGCCAAAACGCTGGCAAGAAAAAAGAAAATCTCTTATTCTGATCTGTCAATTTCCTTTTTCTAAAAAAACTCTTTACTGAATAGAAAATTAAAAGAAGAAACAATGTAACACAAAATGAATTGTTTTGTTTTTTTTTTAAAGTCATCATCAGTACAAAATTTTTACCCCTTCCTACCCCAATTATTTAATTAGATTTGTTCAGACTAAGATTACTTAGCAATTTGCGTTTACGAGCAACTGTGCTTCTTCTACACCAGGCCGATGATATTTCAGACCATCGTCATTATCAGAATCTGACGAGTCCTGTACATCTTTGTCACACAAATCTGTCTCCGGTTTATACATGTAAGGTTGGATGTTAATGGAATAATCTAATTCGGGAATGTCATCCACATTACTGTCATCACTGACGGTCGCCATAATTTAAACATTCAAGTGCAGTCAACTAACAGAACGCTTGAGTGCATAATCGACAACGCCAGTGTGTACGAAGTGTCTCAAATTACGTCACATCCGCTATTTGTTCAAGTGGGGGGAAGTGCGTTGCTCTATTCAAGACGGATCGGGAGAGATGGTAGGTTTTTCATAAATTTTTTGTTAACGAGTAAGAATGAAAGGTACAAATTTTCAGAAAATGAAACTTATACATATGGCAAATTATATATGAAGTTTACGCGAATTGCAGTTTTGTATGTTTGTCCCCTTTAAGATAAAAGTGGTGGAGTTACAAAAATAATAGCAATAGCTTTGATTCGAGAGAGTATGGAAATATAAAACTGTCTGATTTCACATGTCTGCAGTTAATAATTTGTGGTATTCCTTGTTGATTTTGTGTTACTTTGCTGATTAACGAAGCGTAAGTACAGAACGTTTGAAATCAAGATCATACAGAAATTTCGTTTTCAAAGGAAGACATATTGCTGGAATTTCGCTCAGGAATTTTTAAAGTAGATAATCTCAGGATTGCTGATGAATCCATATTTATGACAATAAACTTTTAATCAGTTCAGTCTGAACTGAAGATCGGACATTGATTGCATATAGGTCTAGTTCTTTTAACCTATATTATTACCATAATCGCTAATTGTATCAGCCAATCAGATGAAGTCTTATATCTTCGTGTTTGAGGACTGATCAGTATGCATGAAAAGTATGAATGATTTTTGAAAGCTGAGTTTCCATTGGCTAATTCAAAGATTACCAGAGCATGAACTTAAGCAGTCCTAATCAGATCTTCATGTAGGACAGCAGAGATCTGATTTAAATCGGATTGTTTATCAGTTAGACGAAGCGATTAAAGCATGCTAATACTGTATTAGTTTAATATAGATCTTAACGTATATTTGTCACATAATATTATTTTTCATTATAAACACTACTTGTGTTCTCTGTTTATAGACGTAGCCCTTTTTCTGAAGCCTCTTTACCTGGTTTTGATAGCCACATTGCATTATGGTATGGTTCGTTCTGCATGTGCAAGACTGTACTTGTAACTGGGATAATTTCAAACCCTATATAAGGATAATTAAATATATATAATTATGAAAATTGGTTTCAATTATAATCTCGTGTCTTGAATTACGATGAAAATTGATTATGACGGAGAAGCAGGCGTACTTTCTAAATTTACATTTTCTAACAAAAGACTCGTTGCTAATTCCTCATCCCAAGCACTGTCTGTGAAGCGCTTAGAGATCACCAACAAACATTCAGTACTGTAGGTAGTAGAGAGAGAGAGAGAGAGAGAGAGAGAGAGAGAGAGAGAGAGAGAGAGAGAGAGAGAGAGAGAGAGAGAGAGAGAGAGAGATCTGATTTATGTTTATAATTGTACGGCTAGAGGACAACACGTGGTCGTGCGCGCCTTCTTTAGAAGCCAGTTTGATTTTATTTAGCGATGCCTGCTTGAATTTTTATTTGCCTGCCTGACATTTTTATCTTTCTTCTTAAGTGTTATCATGCCTGAAGTATTCGTTCGGCTTGAAGTACTTGTTGAGCTTGAAGTACTTGTTTGAATATATGCCTCTTTGTTTCGTCACTTGCCGGCTTTGGTTGTGCGAATAGGTTTTACGGTGATGTCTAGCTTTGTGGTATCATGCCGCAGACATGTAACATAATGTCCCACCCAGACACGTTATTCTGACTCTAGGCCGACCAGCCCTAACATTAACCTTTTAATGCTGAGCGCAAAGCGAGGCAGCGGTTAGTACCATTCATACAAATTTTTGATATGACTCGGCTGGGAATCGATCCCACGACCTACCGGATTCGAGCAGGCGCTCTAACCACTAGGCCACAGGAGCGGTTCTTTTACAGGTTTAGAGGGTGGTTTAGCCAAATATCGTGTGGAATTGTTACATAATTTAAATTGTTTTAAAAATATTAATAAAATGTGCAGGTACAATCAGTTTTGCGGGCAGTGCCTTCTAAAGGCATGGGCACACTGGGCAGTTGCCCAGGGCCTCGCCCTTCTGTGTGTTCCGTACTGTTAATAGCGAAGAAAGCTCATATATATTCGTGAAATACACACACACACACACACACAGATAATCAAATTAATTATTTGTATGTTTACATTTTGCTTCGCGTCCTCTCTGCTTACACTTCATGTAGTTCTGTAAATAGTAATCATTCTTATGTATATATATATATATATATATATATATATATATATATATATATATATATATATATATATATATATATATATATATATATATATATATATATATATATATATATATATATATTCTCAGCAAAATTATATGGTTGTCCCAAGTAGCTGTCGATTAGCAAGTCGTCCATGAAGATCGCAACTTCCGTTCCCCTTAACGGTTCTAGTAATGGTCTCATCATAACGACGAAGACACTTTTGAGCATTCTGGACCTCAATTGGCATGATTACACATAGGTACGTTCCATCTAAAGCTGCGAAGGCAGATTTTGCTCTATCTTTACAAACTCTACCAAATTCGTCACAATGCCTCAGACATTGTTTGTTTTTGGAGGTTTGTTTTTTTTAAACGCAAAGGCCTTTGGATATCAGGTGGCGTATAGTTCATAAGTAACGATTTCCACTCTTTAACATATATTTTATCGGAAAGGTTCATCAGTGGCGTAGTTTCCTAGTGACATTGGGCGATGGGAGGTCTTAGGTGCCACGCACTGACTCCTGTCATGCGACAAAGAAAACTTTTGCACATCCCCATACACACCTGGCAAATTAACTCCCTCACTGGCCTATCTATCATCTTCGCTATGCCCATATTTCCAAGTAGACCCTCATGTGCCAGCCTAAGTACCTCTTTTCGTTTAGCTCTCAGCACGATAAGCTGTTTAAACGTATCTGACCCTTTCTTGACATACCGGTACTAGATACTCCATAAACGTCGGTACCCCGTTTAAACATAAACTTCACTTCGCCGCCTGGAAATTTTGGTATGGACTCTCTTTTGAGTACCTGTGTATTTATTGAGAGACAAATCTTCCTCTTGAAGGTTTCCCAACTAGCCAGGTAGCAAAATTTATACGGGCAAAGTCATGGGTCATACATATTTCGACCCTGACTTCATCTTGAAAGATCTCGTCTCAACAGATTCCATGTGCACAGCATACAGAACATGGGTTTAATTTGTGGCAACACCTATATACAACGAAGGACCACATCGTTAGGCAACCCTGACAAGCATGCTGCTTCAATTTGCGTCTTTCAGGGGCGAATCATTTGTCCTGTCTGCAAACTGGACTTCAACTGTCTCCCTCGTATAATCGACGGACTGGCATATTTGCAATCTACAAAGGCTGAATAACTAAAGCCGATATCACACATCATGGTTGTCGACTCCCCATTTACCGTAGCTTTCCCTGTTATCTTTAAATCTAGTTTATTTCGCTTCTTAACACTACGCGCATTAATCGTTGTCGGACGACACTTTCCACAATTCTTAACGACATGGCCAGGCTAGTTGCAACCGTAGCATAGGAAATCTCCTTTACGCTCGAGGGCACCCTTATCTGCCTCCTGGGTCTTACCTGTCCCATAAAGACAGTGCCGGATTTAGACAAAGCGATGCCCTAAGTTCTGGGAAGCTATGGAGGCAGGGTACAGTTTCGTAATTTGGCCCCTGGCAAATTTCTTAACTTAAGGCTATGGTGTGACTTTTTCAGCAATTATTGTCTACTAATTAAATATATGGATATATTGGTGACTTATGTGTTTCGGGCTTGTGTTGTTCTTGAAATTGATGTCAGGCATGTACACCTTCCATAGTTACTCTGCAATATGTTGATAGTGAAATACTAATAGTTGTCTACGAAGAAGAGCTAGCCTCTCGTAACAGTAAACATGTGGGTTTGGGACAAGGAGCATATCTCAAAAACGGCTTGGATGACAACTATTTTCAACTGCATCAGCCTGTTTACTACACACTGTTTGGCAGAATTGTAATCTAGGAAAAGGGCTTGTGTTTGCACTGTGAGTACCACATGGTGTCCAAAATGACCTTCGGACATGAAAATTGCAGGTATAAATTTGGGGTTGGGGTGCATAAACTTCTTCTGCTATGAACTGCCACTGACTTCTCTGGTCAAGTGGATAATATTTTTATGCTTTGTTTTAATATAGGTATCTCAAAATATGGACATTCTTGACCTCACTTGTGTATTTGATTTTTTATGATTTTTTTGTACTAGGTCACTGATTGCGGCATTAAATTTGTACATAACAACTGGCCCCTGCCCCCTATAGAGGCCATATTTAGTATAAAATAAATTTGAGAGTCCCCTTCAGACAGTTAAGAATTTTAGGCCCTAAGCTCTAGATTGTTTAGCTTATGCCTAAATTCGTTACTGCATAGAGATTATCACAGCAGGGATTACTGGAACCAGGATTCCTAGAGTTCTAACTATTCCATCTTTGGGTTGCCCCCCTCGGTGGCCTTCATCGGTTCGTTGATACCGCGTCGGTTCCTTCTACAACGAAGGTTGGACGATAGTGCACACTCCCGTAATACTCGGTCATCATGCTAATATCTTCCAATATAGTAAACTCGCGCTCCGCTAGGAACAAGTCTTTCCGATAAGTATTTAAAGGGGACAAACATGCAAAACTGAAATTCGCGCAAACTCCGTATATAATTTGCTATGTATATAAGTTTCATTTTCTGAAAATTTGTACCTTTCTTTTTTACTCGTTACGAAGAAATTGATGAAAAACCGATCATCTCTCCCGATCCGTCTTGAATAAACTAACGCATCCCCCCCTGAACAATTAGCGGATGTGACGTCATTTGAGACACTGTACACGCTGGCATTGTTGATAATAGCACAGGAGTCTGCAGTTTTATCAATAAAGCACGACGAAATTTTTGACTACATGAAATCACCTAACGGTATTATAAAATATTTTTTTTATATTACCGTTAAGGTAATTTCAGGTAGTCAGAAATTTCGTCGTGCTTTATTGATAAAACTGCAGACTCCTATGATAATACAGTCAATCATTATATGATTTAGCTGTACTTGAATGTTTAAATTATGTCGACTGTCAGTGATGTGGATGACAATCCAGAAGTAGAATATTTAATGAACATCCAACCTTGTAAGTATGAACCCGAGACAAATTCTTGTGACAAAGATGTACAGGAATCGTCAGGTTCTGACAATGACGATGATTATAAACTACCTTTAATTTTAAATACCAAACTAAATAGCAGTACAAAATCTAATCAATAAACCGGGTAGGGAGAGGGCTATAATTTTCTACCGATTACGATTTCGTTCACAATTCATTTTTTTTTTTGTTTCATTGATTCTTCTTCTTTCTTTTCATTTTCTTTTAAGTCAAAACAATTTAATATTACAGATCAAAGTTTTTCTTGCCAGTTTTTTTTTTTGGGGGGGTAGGCTGGAAATTGGTTTTCACTTTCTATAACCGGGATAACAGCTATTGTTATGGACTTGTACATGTCATAATTGGATGAATGCTCGTCAAAGAAATGGACATTTAAAATATCAAACAGGCAACAGTTTTTTCAAATAATTTTAGCTTTTTTTCCACACAGGTGCTTGTGTAGTAAATGTGTTCCAATGTCCAGCCAAGAATGGAATATTTGTTGCCAAACTCAGTGGCTCTCGGAAGAGAAAGTGTGTGTGTGTGTGTGTGTGTGTGTGTGTGTGTGTGTGTGTGTGTGTGTGTGTGAGAGAGAGAGAGAGAGAGAGCACATGTTACACCCCCACCTCTTCCAAGGCTCCATAAACCAATCTGTTAAAAAATAAATACCACGTAGCCATGTATAAAGTGATTGAACTGTTGTGAAATTATGTGTAATAACTATACTATTCAGTAAATTGTTTTGTTCTTTTAGACTCTATCGACACATATCATATAGACGATTTTTCCGTAGGGTGTACAATATACTAGGTAAAAAAAATATACAAATATTACCATCATGTGTAGTGAGCACGATTCGCAAGACCTTCTCATCTGAAACCTTCACATGATTCATTTATTCTCGCTTCTGACTGATGAATCTGAAAACTTATGACAGTTCTAGAAATATATGTGAATGTATTTTAATAATGGCAAAATAAAATATCAAAAGCTACTGAGGTTTTAAACTTTATTGGCTGAAATTACATTTTCAGGTATTGAAACGTTGAAGGTGCTCCTGAATTATTGAGTCCTTAATGCTCCCACAGGAGTCTGCAGTTTTATAAATAAAGCACGACGAAATTTCATTTAGTCAGAAATTTCGTCGTGCTTTATAGATAAAACTGCAGACTCCTGTGATGCTCCCTGGCCTATGTCGACTACGACACGCCGGCGTGCTTCCCGTCTTCTGTCTTGTTATCAGAGTAGAAAAATATTTTTAAAAAAGAGTCGGCACTGCATCAGGCTTCAAACGCTAACGTTTTGGCTTAGACCCAATAGTTTGAAGAGTCTCTGGTCTTTTGAAAAACTTTCATGCTCGAAATGTCTCCGTCATAAATACCTTCTATCTTTAATTTGATCGCCCATACAAATCACCCTTTAGGGTCCTATAGAAATGTGAAGAAAAAAATATTTGTCGGGAACTGCTTTTATTCACACAATTCAGAGCTGCGCATTAAAACATCGTTTCTACTTGACACTGAGTATTTATATGCCTGTTGTATGGGAATCGTCTCAAATGACGTCACATCCTGCTTGTATGAAAGGGAGATAACAACTTGAGGGGTAGGTTCTTTCCATTTGATCTCGGAATTCAAGGCATTTTTATTATTAAATGTTTGTGCAAATACAATAAATGCAAAGAACAAAAAT